TTTCCATCAGTCTCTGCTGAATTATAATTGCTTAATTACAGCAGAAATCTAGTGCCCTGTGTCTTCTGGTCACTACTGATGATGGCGACCGAATTATGAAACCGTAATTGACCGTAATTGCCTGGCGAGCACTGACTTCTGACTTCTGTGTGTGTCTGTGTCGAATGTGTGTTTTTGGCCAGCTGTTGACAGTAGGCACCAGTGGTAGACTGTTCAGCAGACTGTCGGGGAGTGCGATAACCTCTCAATTAGCAGTGTCCAAACCACACAACTCGGTAGTGCGCCTGCAACTGATTGCAGCACTAGTGCCACCGACTGCGATGCACCGTCAAGCTGCTCACAATCACCGGGAATGTGATTAGAGAACGACAATCACAACAACAACAACACAACAAAAACGAAGAGACAGTATTCAGTTCTTCGAACTGCTTGTTGCAGGATGTCAATCCGCCAGCACTCCGACACACTAACACTGGAACCGGAACCAGATGTAGTGAATGGGACCACACACATTTTTGCTGTGTCTATGCCAGTTGAGTGTTTGATCTTCTATCTCCCCATCTGATTGAGGCAATCGGGTGAAATCATCATCGCTTTTCTCTCTTTCTCTCTTATTATTCACCGCGCAAAATCGCGTAATCGCGCAGAGTGGGAACAAGGCGCCATAGGGAGAAGGTGAGAGAGAGAGAGAGAGAGAAGTGTTGCTGCTGGCGCCGAATGACGTATGTAGTGTCCGTACTCTATGACAAACTCACATCGTGTGACTCACTCAAATTCGCTTTCTCTCTATCAGCTGCCTACGCTCCTCTCTCGCTTGCCTTTGCTTTGTCGTTGCAGTTGTTGGCAACACAGGCGATACACTTTCTTCTTCTCTTGTTGTTGTCATTTTAGCTGAAACGACACACTCGCCCACTGAGCGCTTGCTAGTCTTCTGTAAGCATCATCATCTTCTGTTTTTTCACTTTCATTTTGAGGACCCCCTCCTAAACGGTCCGCATCAGTGCATCGCCTAGGTTTTTTATTACTAGACACAGAACAAATCTCGCTGCTACGGTAACTGCTTCCTCGTCGTCTGAGTCAAACACCACCAACTAACACTTTCCTTTTCCTTAGAGATTAGTTGAGTCCATTTGTGATTCGCTCCTCAACGCATCTTCTGCACAACTTTAGTGAGTCCTTCAACCTGAAAAATGGCGTTTTTCCAGAACTTATTCGGCGGCAAAGGCAAACAAGCCACTCCAAGTCCAGCTGAAGCTATCCAAAAGTATGCATTTGTGCACAGACACGTTCTTTGGCTGGCAATTAAGTAACCTTATCTGTTTTT